AGTTAAGGCGAGCAGTTAAGGCGAGCAGAAGTGCAGTGTCTAAATTCACCGCTCTCTTACTCTGCTTGCTAAAAGAGAATGAAAGCATCCTGCTCTTATCCTGCAGCTGCCGTTTACTCTCCGATTGCCTACCGCCGGAACCCTAGCCTGCTTCCACCTCGCTCGGTATCCGTTTCTACTGCCAAACCTGAGGTTGACGACGAGGTCTCGTCTGTGTCTCCGCTCAACCGTCGGCGCCTCATCCTCCTCCGCCATGCCGAAAGCGCACTGCCTAATAGATTTCTCAGGGGTGAGCATGCCTATTTTTTCTGGATATCGTATACATTCCTGTTCTGTCCCTTTTGTGATTAGGGTTTGTCATTCGGCGATGCAATAAGGAGACCTTAAAATTCTGGACAAGTGTGCTTTTCGTGTTTTAGATCATGACCGCCCTTTGAGTAAAACCGGCAGAATTGATGCCATAAGCGTTTCTCGTGAGCTCCATCAGATGGGTTGGAGTCCGGAACTCATCCTTTGCAGGTAGGGATCCACTAAAGTTATCTAGCATCTATTGGCATGCACATTGAAGTAGGATTGCGATATTATATTATTTGATATGTGAAGACATATATGGATGCACCTATACATTTTCTTACCGTGGTACCGCAACATTGTACTTTGATGGTGCGAAGTTTCAGCTTCTGTAGGGCATTATGCAAGCTTATTATTTCTTGTCTGTATACATTGTTTTGCCGTTTGAACAACTAGGAAACTGTTTGAAAAGTAGTAAAAACCATCGAATCCCTGCAATTAGTAAATAATAATATATGAGGTTTTCTGAGCGTTACTTCACGGACTTTAGTGTTGTGTTTCATCTCATTTATAATGATTGCACCGAGTTTGGTCATGGCTATCTGATAGCATGAATCAGACTCTTTAGAATGTTTCAAAAAATATCCCACTTTGTTTGACAACCAGTTGAATAAGAGGTTAAAAGCTCTTATAGCAGCTGATGCTGAAGGTAT